TCGCTTATGAAACGATGTCTTAAAGTGTCCTCTTTCTAATGCTGAAAACCGCACTTCATTATCTATCTCCCGCGAGGAGTTATTCAAAAAGCAACCGACTGCACGACCATTTGGTACGGATAGTAGTAGATTTACAAAGATCAATATTTTTTCTTTTTTTTATAATATATAAAATATAGGTGAATGACATCAAAAAATAGAACACTAGGTCAGTTAGTATCTATAACAAGCCTTTTTTATTGCGTTCGTTATTGCGTAATTCACTGCTTGAATTGAGTAAAAGAAAGATGGTGAACTATAAAAAGGTTGGAATGCACAAATAGATTTATAAGATTTTTTAAAAATAAATCAAATCATGGTATTTCTGTTGAATAGAGAATCTGTCTAAATTTGATGTAAGTATAATCAGTTTCGGAGATCGGCAACTTTATTTATGCACACGCATTCACATTCTGTTTCAAATGTTTTCAGATGCTGAAAAAACAACTGGTACTGGTATCAATGCAGTTAGTGACCAAATTGAAGAGGTATGTACGTACTTCCGTTCTCTTGTTTCATTCATACAAGCGTATGCTAAGAAGCATCTTTTCTTTTCATTTAGAAATCACAGACAAAATTACACAAAGAGAATCTTTAAGTTGGAGCAGTGTTCAATCAGAAAAGAATCAGTTCAACCAGAAAAGAATCAATATTGCATTTTAATAACTTTTCCATTGCTGATTTTATTAATCATAAAGCATGCTGTTATATGTGAAATCTAGAACTTTTTTATTTCATCAATAAACGTTTAGTAAATCAGAGTACGTTGAATACAATCGAGGCCTAAGAACCAGTAAATAGATGCAACTAAGAAGATCGCAAAACAAAACATACGATAACTTTTTGTTACACAAGTAAATAATAAAGAATAAAATGTCCGCAAGTTTATGCAGCATTCTAAAACTATTTCTTTCTACGTGCATTTTCAGTCTATATATTTCTTCACACTTCACAAACCACGTGCATTATGCACAGATGTTCCAAATCTGAACTTTTTTTCTTTCTCCGCACAATATCCTGAAAAAAAGCTCAAAACCTTGTTATTTATCGATCATTTTGAAAATGCTTTAACGTATTTTTCATCTCCTGTTTAGTAATGTCAGATGGTGCACATTTCTACACTAGTCCATTCGATGTAGAATTTCATTCTCTATCGAATGCAGCTATTTTGAATATCTGTTATCTATCAAGAAATCTTGAAAAAAAAGCTCAAAACCTTGCTTATTTATCGATCATTTTGAAAATGCTTTAACGTATTTTTCATCTCCTGTTTAGAAACATCAGGTGGTGAAAATTTCTAAACTAGTCTGTTGGATGTAGAATTTCATTCTTTATCGAATCAAGCTATTTTCAATATCTGTTATCTATCAAGAAATCTTCAAAAAAAAGTTCAAAACCGTGTTATTTGTCGATCATTTTGAAGGTGCTTTAAAGTATTTCACATCTCCTGTTTAGTAATGTCAGATGGTGAGAATTTCTAAACTAGTCTGTTGGATGTAGAATTTCATTCTTTATCGAATCAAGCTATTTTCAATATCTGTTATCTATCAAGAAATCTTGCACCGAGTTTTCATTAGATTTTCGTGGGTTTTCCAGAAAACTTCGAATTGAAAACTTTGACTTTGGAACCGTGATACGAGTTTTTGTAAGGGAGCTCATGGGTAAACATGTTATGCACAGTATATATTAGTAGAGCAGTTGCTTTAAACAAAAAACAAAAGACGCAGCAACAATAACAAACAACAATAAAGCTGAAAAAGATTCTTTGCAGATTTCAAAAAGATCTCTAACATCCGATAATCCAATTTGTTCACTAAAATCTAAACTATCATCATCACCTATATACATAGAATATTCTCCATCAGTTGATGGTTCATTTGTGTTCGTCAAATTTTCACTTGACCATTGACTAATATTTCCACTTTTACAGTGTGGAACCATTATAGACCTTTTCTGCATTTGAGATAAATGTTTCTGTAAGAAACGAAACAATTGAAAGAGTTTATCTGGAAGACAAAACCAGGCACATAAAATAACAAAAGCAACAAGTTTGCCATACGTATAACCGGTACTTGCAAACGCATACCAAAATGCTTTAAAGTAGTTTTAATCTGCTGTTGAGAAATGTCAGCTGGTGATAATTTCTAAACTAGTCTATTGGACGTAGAATTTCATTCTCTATCGAACGAAGCTATTTTCAGTGTCTTTTTTCTGTGAAGAAACATTCAAGAAATGCCCAAAACCGTGTTACTTATCGACCATTTTGAAAATGCTTTAAAGTATTTTTCATCTCCTGTTTGGAAATGGCAGGTGGTGAAAATCTCTAAACTAGTCTATATGATGTAGAATTCCATTCTCTATCGAGTCAAGCTATTTTCAATATGTGTTATCCATCCAGAATTCTTTAAATTGAAAATTTTAAACATTTTTGTATATACAAAAAAATTGATAAGCAGAAACGATTCTATCTTTTTTCGAACTTAGGAAATAATTAATTATTAACCGTATCACTTCGTAAAATACGAATTCATAAAATTCCCGACTATTCGACTTATGAATTAGTGGGTATCCGAAATTTCTTGCCTACGCATTCGTCCCAATTTACGACTTTGCAAAAGGAACAAAATGGGTACATTTTTGGTTCCTTTCGATCCTTTTTGTCAGTATGTATCAGTTGGCAAACAATCGTAAAATGCGAATCATTGTATTATTTTTACGCTCAAAAATTACAATTCGTCTTTCAGACGTTTGTCCACACTAATGATATTGAATTTCATTAGGACATTCTTTCGATATCTGAATGATCGAGTTGACATTGCTACTACAGGTGTTCAAAACTATTTGCAGTTAATTATTTAGGTTTGTGACTTTTATGTAATATATGTTGACCATAGCAAATCAAATCAATTTTTTGGAGGATGTATCTAATCTTTTACTAACTACGAAAGTCGGCGGTTTTTATTTATTGTTAGAACAATATATAGAATTAGCAATCATCAGGTCTTAAAAGAACTAAAGTATTGAAAAAATGTTCAGCTGCTTATTTATATGATAAGAAAAACGTTTAAAAATATCGGTTATAAAGAAAAATGATTTTAGATTGTATTACACCTTTGTTAAATCCAGTCTGCCGCATTAAAGCCTGCATTATTCGAGTATGCTGCGGTTGTTGAATTATTCATTATGCCAAAGTGTTGATTTGTTGATACAAGTCGATGATTTTCACCACCTATCTCTGAATTACATTCAGGACAGCGACTCCGCTGATTAGCTCCACCACATTCGCCTATCACATACGGATGACCTAGACAGAACATAAAATATCTTAAACAATTAATAAAATTAAAATTGTTTAATATGACAGTATATTTCAGATATCTACCACACTATTTTTTAGTGAAGAAGACACACAGTTTTACCGTTTGAACAAATGAACCAGTGACCTTGTTTCAAATTCAATGCGTTCACAATTTGAATACGTTCATCATTTGTTATACCCAAACCCGGTAGATTTAACATTGTTTTCATTTCATTATATAATGCATCGAATATTTCACAATCACTATTTGTGAATGGGCTACATTTTTAAGATTAATGTGTGTAAATTAGAGTTCTTTTCTCTTATCTTGTCTTGTGATATTTCTACAGTTGTTTCTTTAATCCAAAAATCATCATCATTCAACAGTATAAAACGTTTTATTCGCATTAGTTCTTGTTTGATATCGTACAGTTGTTGCTGGGTGTAAATCTGTCGTTTCTCGAACATATACTTCATGATTCTGTCAATATAACTATTGAATTGACAATAATTTGATGAGTTTAATTGTCTTTCTTTGTTAGCATATATGCGTAATAAACGCATTTCTTTCAAAAACGTAAACGTATTTTCAACATAATCTAGCTCGCTCATATTCCCTTTAGCTCGTTTTAATGATACGAGTTTTTGAAACGGTTCATTGTCCCACACTGATTCTTCAGCCAAAAAAGATCTAATTGATCCAAACAATTGCTTTTGACGTTCACTTAATGAATCTTGATTTCGCTGCACTGTTTTTACAAACGAGTATTGTTTCGAAACGCCGGAACCTAGTTACGAGGGAACCTCCCCAAGCGATAAATCGCTTTTCGACTCCGACTATTTTCATTGTGTAGTGAATAGTAAGCAGTGAAGAATCCCAAGTCGATTTGTGCCCATGCGCTTTTTTGACCGAGATAGGGGTAAATTAATGAAAATGTCATTAATAATAATTAATCAATAACTCACGACCTTGGTCACTTAGAAGTCTGAAACTTTCCATTGGTGGAGATAGATGCTGCCCACTCACTCTGAGAATCTTAGGCTTATAAACCAAACATTTCGCAAAATATGAATTTTTTATGGTTTAGGCCGTTTTTAGTGAAAATTCACCATGAAAAACCCAAAAAATTCTTCTGGTCTCCTAAATGCTTCTATTGGCTCAGTAAAGACTAATTCCATCTAGATATAGGTCCCTAGGAGCTGTTGAGTATCTTCAACAAGAAGAGGGGCATTTAAAAGACGAAAACAATTTTTTGGGTTACTATAAATGACATTTTCATTAATTCACCCATATCTCGGTCAAAAAAGCGCATGGGGACAAATCGACTTGGGGTTTTACACTGCTCACTATTCCCTACACAATGAAAATAGTTGGAGTCGAAAAGCGATTTATCACTTGGGGAGGTTCCTCGTTAGTGGATATACTCAGTTTTCGACGCCCTACAAAACAACTCAATCAAAAAACAATTTCGCAATATGAGTCTGTAGAAGCTGGATTTTCAGAGAACTGATCAAAAACTCCGCATGAGCACAAATCAAGTTCAGATTCGTAATCAGATGGTTAGATAGCATATAAAAACATACGTTTCACGACAAAAGCACTTGACAAAGCGCTCCTAAATAAATTAGTTTAAACTAAGGCACTTGGGATAACGTAAACGGCATAATCTCGCTGCGATACTAGAGTTGTGGAGGTTATGGGCAAAAGTACATGATTACTTCATCCATTCAAATTCGATTTTCTACCAGTTGTAGCTGTGAGTGTACGGAATATTTTTTGTTCCAAAAGTATATGATGATTTTGATTTTCGGGTAGCGTCCACCTGTTTATTTCTGATTTCATCCCAAAATGCCGTGTATTTGAATGGGCCTGACTGAATTAGGAATAAAAAATACACTACATGACAGCATTACGAAACGACATGAAATTGAGAGCACAGTGTATTCTTACTCTAATTAATGAAGAGCATAGATATAGATTTCACATAATTTTACATGGTTCGACAAAGCAGAATCTCAGCTACACCACTATATATAAATGATATGCCTTAAAATATATTTTATCTAGATATACTTTAGATAGTCGATTTGACAAGCGAAGTGTGCATTGTTAATCGTTCCACCCAAAATTTCAATTAAATTTCCGAACTCATGTGATTTGGAAGAAACTATAAAGCCTCAGACTGAGATATCACATCGATTATAAATAAGACGTACCTAGGAAGTAAAGATATTTGATCACTGCTCAAACTACTAGCCGGTAGTGATATCTGTAGAAGTAGACATGAAGATTTATTTTATTATTGAAATTATTTTCGATTAATTAGTTCTTTAATGGATATTTGTCTCATTTCAGCTTTACGAACTTTTCCAGTAGCAGTTCTAGGAAATTCTTCTACAAATTTCCAGTGTGTCGGTATTTTATAAGAGGATATCTGATCGAGACAAAATTCAATGAGATCTATTTCACCGACTGGTTCCGTGCGACTGTCCGAGTTCAATTTAACCCAAGCCATTAATTCTTCGCCGTATTTTTCACTGGGTATGCCAATAACGTGTACTTCGTTCACAGCTGGATGTTCAGTTAAATACTCTTCGATTTCTTTTGGATAGATATTTTGTCCACCTCGTATAATCAAGTCTTTAATACGGCCAACAACTTGAATGTAATCATGTTCATCCATGACAGCCAAGTCACCGGTACGCAACCATTTTGAGTTCGGTTCAAGAATTTGTTTGGTTGCCGTTTCATTCTCGTAATAACCAAGCATGACATGATAACCACGAGTGCACAATTCACCTATTTCACCTCGTTTAACTACTTCATTTGTATTCTGATTGACTATCTTTATTTCAGTATGATCAAGCGCTTTTCCAACAGTTGAAAGATATCTTTCTAAACTATCATCAACGAATGTCTGAGCAATGCAACCGGAGTTCTCTGTCATACCATAACCAATTGTCATTTGTTTGATATTCATTTGAGTTAATACTAGTTCCATTGTTTCCCGAGGACAAAATGCTCCGCCAATTTGACCTGTTCTCAATGAACTCAAATCATAGTTTTCGCGATTTTTTAAGGAATTTAATATACTCATAAACATGGTTGGAACTCCTAGAAGAGACGTGCATTTTTCATGTTCAATTGCTGTCAATACCTTTTCAATCTCAAATGTTTCCGATGGTATAACGAGACAACCGCCCATTGATAAAGACGAATGAATACCGCAAACAGTTCCAAAACAATGAGAAAACGAAACTGGTACACAAGTACGATCTTGTTCAGTGTATCCTAATCGAACAGCAGTAAAATAAGCATTATTCAAAATATTATGGTGCGAAAGCAAAGCGGCTTTCACTCTACCCACAGTACCCGATGTAAACTTAATGTTAATTGCGTCGTCAAATTGCAGGCTATTTTCGATTTCGGATAACTCGGTGTCTGTCACATTTGCAGCTGAATCTCTTAAATAAGTCCAGCCATCCTCTAAATACAATACTTGAGATTTTTGTATTTTTCGAGTTTCGTTACTCAACAACTGTTCATGATTTGTTTTTGTTACTTCATTTCTTTTCATTGTTATAATCAACTTAACAGGAGTAACATTAAGAGCATCTTCCAATTCAGTCAATTTCCATAACGGATTTATACTGACAAGAAGAGCACCAAGACGAGCTGTGGCATACTGAAGAATGACCCATTCAAAGCGATTTGTTAACCAAACGCCAACTAGATCATTTTTCCTAATTTGACACATATTCAGCAGGCCTTTTGCAATAACTGTTACTTCATGCCACAATTGAGAATAAGTAAATCGACGATTTTGCCAAACATCAATTAATACATTTCTGTCGGGATACTTTTTGACGAGTCGAAGGAGATTTGCTCCGATTGTTTCTTCCAGAATTGGCACAAGACTGGCAGTGTGAGCATAGGAATTACTTACAGAACCTGGAACAATTCAGTGCATATATAAAACTTTTTAACCATCCATAAGAGAAAAAAATCGTTTTGCCGAGATCTTTTTGTTCCAATAGGCCTGTTTTTGCTAGAAATCGTTTCGAAGTTGGAGACTCCTAACCTGAAGATTCTCATAAAAGTGTTAGCAATAACAGGTGAGACTAGCGGAAACGTGAAAACGAAAGCGAGAAGTCTACAGCAAGAACTTTGAAGTAGAAGTCGAATTCTGATTCTGCCAGATTCTGGCAGAATTGGACTAGAATCGACCAATTCGTGGAGAGAATGTATATAGTGTTACATTAGTTCATACTGAGTTTCTCTCGACGAAGTGGTACAATCGTTTCAATTCTGCTGTGATTCTGCCAAATTCCAATCAGATTCTGGCAGAGTCAGAATTCGAGTTCCACCAGAATCTGATCAGAATTACAGTAGAATTAGACCAGATTCTGCCAGTTCATTGGGAGGTTTTGAGAATGTGTGGGGATTGTTAGGTTATTCCTTTCAGAATCGTTTTGCATCCAATGGTTAATAGCCAAAGAAGAATGTAACTGTTACACACACTTTATTTCAGTAAATTAACATCTATATATAGTATATTTTAGCTACAGGAAGATCT